GGACCGACAACTCTGAAACCATGAGCTTAAATAAGTCTTCCCTCCACTTGTGGGAGAGAGACCTGTGTGTGTGTGTGTGTGTGTGTGTGTGTGTGTGTGTGTGTGCATGCGCACATGGGAACACACACAGGCACGTGTGGGAATGTGTGTGCATGTGGTCTATGCCAGTGTGTGCATGTACGGATCTGCACAGCTGTGTGCATGTGTATGGAAGTGAGGGGTTACACGGAGTGTCCTTCTATTACTCTCTGCCATACCCCCCTGGAGACAGCGCCTGTCAGCAAGCCTAGAATTCACCTTTTCCATCTGGCTGGCTGACCCTGGGCCCCAACAGTCTTCCTGTCACTGCCTCCCATCTCCACAGTGTGGCCACATCCGGCCTTTTCATTAGTGCTGGGGGCCCGGATTCAGGTCCTCATGTTGTGCAGCAAGCACTCTCACCCACTGAGTGGTCTCAGGCACAAGATTTTACCTCATGTCCTGCTCGGGTAAATCTCTCCTCTGCCATTCCTAGAGTCAAGACAGAGAGAAAACTCCCTCAAATGCACAGCACTGGCTGGTTCTGCAGATGTGTGCAAATGCTGCTAACTACATCCGACTGCATCGGTCAATGTGATGAAAGATATCAGTGCAGGGTTGGATATGCTAGAAATCCAGTGTGTGAACTAGAGAAAGCTGAGTGAGCCATCAGACCACAATGCAGGTCTGACCTGAAGTGAAGGAGAGAGGAAGGCGGGCAGAGAGAGGCTTGGATGACTCCCAGAGGATGTTCAGACCTACGAAGTTTGGAGGAAATGCCCACAGCAGCCAAGTGGCCCACCGGAGTTCTCCATGAGTCCAGAAACAGCTTTGGTTGGTATTTCCGCTGGCTGGGAGTAGGTCATGGAAGTAGGGGTTTTGTGGATGGACTTTTGAACAGCTGGAGCTCTGGTCCATCATAGTCTCTAAGATCAGAGAGGCTCGTTCTCACGGCTGCCATGGTAACTGTGTGCTGCATCGTGGAAAACATTCAGAACTCTTCTGAAATACTCGTGGGTTAATTCGTAAACTTAGTTGAGCACTTCACCTCACTTTTCTAAACACAAAACTAGTCAGTATAGTGAAGTAAGTTCCCCTAGAAACACGTAAGTGTGAAACTCAACTCAGAAAAGTGCACACAGAGATGACACTGTAGTTCTGTGGTGTGTGTCCTTGTCGTAACAATCCCAAATGGAGTATTCATGTTCCTAGTGCACCTGAAAGGCCAAGTCAAAGGACAATTAATTGTAAAGGACTGTAACAGGCCTTAAAGTCATCCCCCAACTCTTAGTGATCATGCTCCCATATGATCCCCTTCCTTAGTGTGCATGACAAAAGTAACTCACTTCTCACCAGCAGAACACAGCCAAGGTCACAGGAAGCCACTCCCAGGATTGCATGGCACGATAGAAGACTGCTCCCCCCCAAAGTCACTCTGGCCTCTCCTGTTGTAAATGCGCAAGCACAGGAAGTCCGCCAGCCGCCCACCGAGCTCAGAAGCCAAGTCTACTCCTCAGGAGAAGGTCCCGAGTGGTATCTTGATTGAGGCTCTCTAAGGTCACGAGCGCGGAGCCTGACAGATGACCCACAGAAACGGTAAGACCGTGAAGGTGTGCGTTTTTGAAGCTGGTTTGACTGCACTTGTTCCACAGAAATGCATGGTCATTACAGCCGTGGCTCTACTCTGTGCTGAGCGCTGCTCCGGACTCAGCGGGCACACTAGCACAGTTAAGCCTTGGATGAGCGCCCCCCATGGACTGAGTGGGAGGCACACCAGTTAAACAGAAACATTGTTATACATAAGTAGCAAAATACTGTGAGCTGTGCAAAAGCAAACCCTTGGGCATATGCGAGCTTTGTATTCTGCTCTATAGCTACCCTAGGGCACTGAGGAAAGTGTTACAGAACTACAGACAGGTTATCTGAACTTGGATATCTTAAATACAGCCATTTCCTATCTACAGGATGTTCTAGATGTTGAATCTTTACAGGGGTTACTTTTTAATCGTCTTTTTTTTTCTCTTGAGGCACTGAAGAATCAAACCCAGGACCTTGCACATGACAGACAAGTACTCTACTGGTGAGCTAACCCCCACCCCTTGAGCTTTGGCTCAGAATCTCTCTACGTGGTTCAGCCTGGCTTTGAACTCACCATGTAGTTGAGGTTGATACTCAGCTACAATCCTCTTACCTCCACCTCCCTAGTTCTGGAATTACAGGGGTGTGTCACTAAACTTGGCTTCCCGTTCAGTTTTTCCGATGCGTATTTAAATTCTCTTCATTGTTAGAAGAATACTGCAGTTTATGGATATTTTCACATTGCATTTCCTCCTCTGCTTCGCCAGCTTAGCAAAAGGCGCACCTGTTCCTCTCTCCTCCATAGGGTGTGAAATAATTGCTAGTGTGCAAGACACAGAGGAGTAAAGCAGCTGTTGGCGACGTCACTAAGGAGGGGTCCCCTCCCAACTGCCAGTCTCTATGGCAACCGCCAGTCAAGACCTGCAAACAGCTTATGACGACTCTGCCTTAGATATCTCTATAGGCTCCCAAGAAGGGGAATCCGTGTTGATGATCTCTTTGTTACCATGGTTTCTGTTTCTCCCATGGTCTTGGATGTTCTCTGGGTGTGTCCCCACGTGTGTGCATGCACTGAGGCTCAGCACATGCTGGCCCTTGCTCTTGATGGGAGCCAAGAACATGCTTGAGGAGTGACGAGTGTAAACTCCATGATGAAAATGATACAGTCATTCTTAACCCAGGAATAAAAAAATGAATAAAAAATAAAATAAAAAAGCCTGCGGTTGCTCACAAGATCAGCTGAGAAATTCCTTCAGATTGACTGCAGGGGATGATGATGGGGCTGAGTTTCCCCCAGAGAAGCGTACAGCTGCAGGCACTAAAACTCCTTTTACATTTTGGACTCGACAAAGGAATAACTCACAGCGGAGGGATCCAGTGTGCTCCATTTCCAAAGGCAGTCACCTCTGGGCTAGAAAATACCATGCACACCCATGACCCTTGGTCTCGGTGACTAACACTTGGGCACGCTCCTTTGCGGCTCTCTTGTCCGGAACATCGGAAGTATGAGCAGGGCAGTCAACACCAAGAGTCCTTCCTAAACGCCACAGCTGTGATTTCTTGTAGGGTGCTGATGAGTCTGCACCCTTGTGATGTTGGATCCCTCTGCGTTTCTCAGACTGCTATCATGTGTGAGAAATGCCCCGCGGGTCTTTTGTGAAAGGGCAGCCCCTGAGTCAATGGGTGAGGCTGGAGAGCCTAGCCTCGTAATATGCCCTTGGGTGGTGCTGATGTTGCAGGGGGAAGGGGGGAATCCAATGAGCTGTAGGACACCGATGAATCTTCTCTGCAACTGGGGTGTGTGAGAATTATAGCAAGGGTCCTAGGGAAAGACATATGCGTGTAAAAGTTAAGTACTTGATAAATTCTACCATCACTTCTGCAGAGCATCCGAAGCCTCGAGAGCTCGTTGGACTGCCGCAAACTTAAGTTGGGACAGAGGATGGGTACAAATCTCATTTTTAAAGTAAGGAAATGAAATTTCAAGAGGAGGGAATGCTATGGTCAGTATTCTGAAGTTGATGGGGCAAGGGCAGCAACTTAACCTTGGTCTTCTGATCCGCAGCCCTCCATCCTTTCTGACACTGCCATGCTGTGAACTCTCATGTCCACATTTGGAATGTCACTTAATTGACTCAAGATGAGACCCATCTCATTTTATTTTTGAAAGCCAGAAAACTCTGAAATCAAAACCTGGCACAGATACTATGTTGGGGGGTGGGGGGAGCTCTATAGGACAATCTCAAAACACTGAAGCAAAAAATCCTAAATAAAATATTATCAAATCAAATCCAGCCGCACATTTGAAGAATAATACAGAATGACTAAGTGGAGTGTATCCCAGGAATGTAGGATAGTTTAATATAAGGAAATCTATTAACATAATTCATCACATCAACAGGTCAAAGGAGAAAAACCATATGCACATCGCAAAAGATGCCAAAAGACATTTGATAAAATTCAATACTCATTCAAGATTAAGAGAAAAAAACTATGTGGAAATTGAAATCCACAACCTACTTCAACATAAGAAAAGGTAACTTCCTGAAAGCAACTGTCAGTAATCCAATTAACTGAGAAACACTAGAAAAGTTGGCCTGCCAGTCCTTATTCTTATTTTTTAATCCTTGGTTAAGACATATTAATCAATGCATTAGAACAGGAAAAATAAATAAGAGGAAGAAATAGTTTGTAGGAGGAAATAAGATTATAATCATGTGCAGATGCTGAGTTTTCTCCCGAAAAAAAGAATTTATTTTAGATCTACTAAAAATAATTGACCACTTAAAGGGTTAGGGAGATGACTCCATGAGTAAAGCCCTTGACGTGAATGCCTGAGGACCTGAGTTCAATTCCCCAAAGCCCACATGAATTGGCACAGTAGCATGTTCTGCAACCCCAGTGTTCCTACAGTGAGACAGGAGATGGAGCACAAGAGAATTCCCAAAAGCTCTCAGGCCAGCCAGCCTGGCATGTGTAGCAATGGACAGCCAAGAGATCCTGTCTCCAACAATGTGGAAGGCAAAGCCCCCCATCTGAGTTGTCCTCTGATCTCCACATGTGCGTTGTGGCATACTCATACCATATCCTCACACAGAAACACACAACAAAAAACACACACAGAGAAAGAGGGAGAGAACACACACACAGAGAGAAAAGACAGAAGACACACACACAGACACACACCAAAAAAACACACATATACACAAACATACTCATGCTCATACATGCACACGCGTGCACATGCACACACAAACACACAAAGAGAGAGAGCCAGAAGACACACACACACCAAAAAACACACATATACACACGTACACACACATGAAAAATAATTCACAAGTTAAAAAAATGTATTTACAAAAGGCCCAATTAAAAGTGAGAAACCAAAAAAAATCAAGATATTTATCAACAAACAACACTCACGAAACTTTATTATTTTTATACTGAGGAATAAAGGAAGAGTTGAGTAAACGGAAAGAAACCCCATGTTCCTGAGTGGAAAGTCTACATACTAATTTATAGATGTCCTACTTTTTTGGTCATAATTACAGTGGCATTCTGGGAACCTGAGAAAACAATTGCAAAGTTCAGCTAGGAGAATAAGAGTATGAGAATTGTCAAGAAAATATCAAAAGAGAAGAAGAATGTGAATAAGCTTGCCCCACTAGATTTTTTTAAGTACTATAAACCCACAATAAATAAAATATTGCTGTAAAAGTGCCAGAAGAGAAAGTTAGATCAAAGACACAGAAAGAGAGCCTCAGAAAGGTCCCCAAATACAACTATCTAAGAATTTATTAAGTGACAAGAGTAGCAGTTAGGGGCCAGGGGAAATTATGTTAAACTAATGGATTAACTATGTGACAGCAAATTAAGTCACACTCTGACCTTGCATCATAAACCAAAGTAAGCCAAATTATATTAAACAGTTAATGTTTTACAGAAAACAGAAAAAGAAATATATATTGTGTACATGAATATATACACATACACACATATATCCATGTTCTCATTCAAATAAAACAAAGTCGGAAAACTCAGAAAGGGTGGCGTTTGGACCCTGGAAAAAAATATAACATTGTATACTGAGGAGAGAAAAGCCAAATAACATGCTAAATAAAACATGTAAGATAAGTAAAAAATAGCATTAATGTGTTGACAAAATTTATAAAGCAGTGAGAACATGAATCACCTTATATTATAAAATGGAGAGGCTATAAATGGAGTTCATTGCCAAGCCAAGAAATATTGCTAGCAACCACAGGAAGAGACGGCCAACTTTGCTATTAATCAAAGTGAACGCTCTGGGCTGTGGAGTTAGAATTCTTACACACTGCTCGACAAGTAAATCAATTAAGGTTCGTACTTCTTGAAAGGCAACTAACAATCCATCTAAAAGGTCTAAAAATGCAGAGACCAATTTCAGCCAAGAAACTCCATCTCTACAGATGTACTACCTTCACAAATGCCATAAAATACCAAAAAAACATGTTCTACCATAGACATAGGAATACACTTAACGCTATTATTTATAACAGAAAACAATGTTTTATAATAGGAAATTGGTGGGTCTATTCCACAGGCATCAATGAATCCACTGATTCCCTGAGTCAATCTATCTTTTTTTTCCCCATGAAATGAAAAAAATTTTTTCCAGGCATGAAGGAGTACACAATGTTTGATATCACTCTAATAAAATAGACCACACAGAAAAACTAAACATTCTACAGACGGTGATCGGGTAACTGCTAGTTCTGTTCCGTGCCGGTTTGGCGCGTCAAGCGTGGACTGCAATTTGAGATGAGGATGCGTCCTACTTTAGTGAGGCAACTGGGGGCTGTGTTGAAGTCCAAAGACTGGAGTGGTGCCCTCTAAGCAAGGCTTAGGGACTACAGTTTTGGTTTTCGAAGGAGTTAAAAACCCAAAAGGGAGGAGGTGCGAGCTCTGCTGTCTCCTGGAGGCCTTCAGGACTGCTTTAGTGATCAGGCTGAAGCAAGAGAGGAGGGGGACCTGCTGAAACTGAGTCACCTGGAAGAAATGACAGAGACATAGAGATGTGGCCAGTGTGGGGAGTGAGGGTGGGGTGAGCCTTGGGGACAAAGGGTAATGCAAATGCCACCACATCAAAGAGCCTAGATTTCAAGGCAGATTGTGGCCAAGAGGGAGTAGTCACTTAAGGTGGAGCCCAAGACAAACACGTTCTTGAGGCCGAAGCTTCCTTGGGATAGGAGTTCCTCTAACAAGCATCGCTCCCTTCATAAACGTGACTCTCTGCATTGCTCCCCTCTCTTCGTTTTACAAAAGTGGCTGTCACCATCGATTTCACCCAGCACCCACAGACGATCCAATGAGACGGTCATTAGGATGACAGCCCTCATCCAGCCACTGTATAAACATGACAACTGGGGTGATTTGGTCCTCTGCACAGGTCTAAAAATTGGCAAGTCTATATTCATTTTAAAGTGTCTTACTCAAGCCAATACTAATTTTAAAGATGCATTTCATTCACGTGTGTGTATGTGCGTGTGTGTATGCACACATTGGTGTGGGTGCTCGTGGAGGCCAGAAGAGGGCGTCAGATCCTCTAGAGTTGCGGTTACAGACGGTTTGAGCCACCCAGTGTGGAATGGAAGTCTAGCCTTCTGGAAGAGCAGCAAAGTGCTCTTAGCCGCTGAGCCTTCTCAAACAGCTCCCAACATTATGTGACAAAGCATTCACAGCTTACTCTATCCCAAACCCAGCTCCACCTCTATGCTCAGAACACTCCCCCAGCCCACTCAGAACAGTCTTTCTCACGAATACCGAGCAAACGAACAGTGTCCCAGGGAAAAGTGGTGTCTGTGGTAAATCCTTGAAGGGTCCTGGCTGGGGGGTGGCTTTGAGACACATGAAGGTGATGGTGTTCAGGTTCAGGAAGCAGGAGTCGGAAGCTTTGCTTCGTGCAAGCTTTAGCTGTCCACGCCAGAGGTGAGGGTGACCTAATGCACGAGGCGGCTGTCACGGGGTGAGGTATGGGAAAAACCTGACACTTAGTAGGCTTTCCATGAACGCTCTTTCCCGTGTTTCCATGTTGTATCTCAGCTTTTAGAGAATCTGCCACAGGCAAGATCCCAGATGTGAGGGACTTGCTTATGGCCTCAGATTTCATTTCACAAGACACAGATCTGGACCTTGGGCCTGACTTCAGTAAAGAAGGTGTTAGATTTTTTTTCCCTCACATAATTTCTTTTGTATACTGTACCTCCTTCAAAAGCCAAATTGCTAGTCGTAAAGCAACCCTTTCTAGGGTTCTGCCTCCTATCCTATGACAATTGGACGGCCCGAGAATCAAGTTCAAAGGTATGTTGGTGAGTGTTGAGTGTGAGGGGGGCAGGGCCAGGAAGAAGATTGACAGGCTGCTGGAGGCGCATAGCCCGTCCTTGGAGTTGGGTTAGGAACGAAAGCATCTGCAGGGAGGACCTAATCTATCATTGGAAAAGATAGCAAATATGTTGTTAATGAATGAATAGATCACTCTTGGGCAGGCAATGACATCATTTTCTCCTGGGGTGCACTGCTTAATGTTTTCCCTACGAACCATACCCCTGGGCAGCTCATGGGAGCCCAGAGAGGGGCCAGGCGCAGGCCTCTGCAGGCCTACAGCGCCGTCCTTGAGCAAAGCATCGCCTGTGGTCTCCCCGTCCGTCGGAAGAGCCTCTTCGCTGACTTATCCTGGGCTCTCGATGTCCTCTCATTGTAACAGGAGCACACCCATCGCACGTGGGTTTCCCAAAGCTGAGCAGTGAATCCTGGAGGGAAGGAGAGAGCCAAGCCCGAGAGGTAAGGAATTAGGAGGAAGAGAAGGAAGGGACGCTGGGAGGAGTTGCGACCAGAGAGCAGGTGCCACAGGAAGTTCCCAAGAGCCTGGCGGTGAGGACAAGAGAATAAGGCAGCTGAGCGAGAAATCACCCTCTTCTTCTGACTCAGCTGGGCTACTCTGGGAAAGTCACACCGCTTCTCTGAGCCTGTGCCCTTTTGCACGCAAGTCTGGGGTATCGATCACCCACTACATGGTTGAAATGAAGTTTTGAGGAGATTGTGTATGCGATACTCAAGGCCCTGTGTAAATATCAGCCGTTATGGTTACCACGGTTTCATCCATTCCTTCTTCTACGTTTTGTGATTTTTTTTCCCCACGGGCCAAACCCTAAGATAGTGACGCAAAGATGAATGGCCCTAACAAAAGTCCCTGCTACCTAAAAGCACTAAATCTAGGTTGCGGACATGGGGAAACACAGTGGAAACAATTATATGAGGACTGTCTGGGGGAGCAGCTACCCTAGGCTGGGTCACAATTACCACGAGGGGAGGGGGGCAGAGGGCAGCGAGGACAACACAGACGTGACCACTGCGGCTGTCTCCCAGCCAGAGGGGCAGGCAGGACTTGACTTGTGCCTTTGGAAGCCATGGTAAGAACATGGATTTCACCCTACGAGGGACATGACTAACATAGCCTCCCAGGGCTCAGGGGCACAGTCCAAAATGCCTTCCCACACAGCTGGAAGACCCTAAGGAAGTTCAGCTAGAAGTTTCCATGCTCTTTCTGGCTCTCCCTGGGTCCTTGAAGAAACCGTGTTGCTTTTCACGTTCACGTTACTATTTTTTCCCTAGACAGCCTAACAGCCCCCCAGAGCCCAGAAGTCTGCGGTGGGAACACTTTGCAGAAACGGCAGCATATTGGCCAAATGCAAACTCCTTAGGGTGATTCCGCGGCCATGACCTGCCTCTTGATTCCTTGTCTGACCCCCATGTCACTGGTCCTCGAAACTCGGGGCTTCGTAACACCAAGCCACCCATGGCTCCCCAAACACACCATGCTATCCCATGCCTCCTCATAGTTGCACATCCGTGGTATGCCTGGAATGTGCTTCTCTTACTTGTCTCCCTGCCGAACTCCTTGATCTCAAAATCCAGCCAAAGAATAAATGGCTTCTTTAGTGAATCCTAGACAATAACTCACTCTGTCACACACACACTCACGCATACACACGCGCGCGCACACACACACACACACACACACACACACACACATGAGACTCCTATTCTCTCATCTACAGCACTACCTCTTTTGCATAATTCTGTCACTGTCAATACTGTTTGTGTCCTCTGTTTTAGCCCGGCTCCTTGTCTAAACAGCACACAGACGTCCACTTAAATGGATGGACCCACTCAGCCACTCGTGACTTTTATCTGTGAGAAAAGCATGCTATGAGTTCTACCTTTACTTAAGTCCAAGATAATCTCTCTCTCCTCCTACGGGGGAAGGGAAAGGATTCTTAATCGGGGGAAACCCAGGATGACATAAGAAGGTATTCCTGGACTTGGATGCTGTGGTGAAAGACACCAGCCCCATTGACTAATCTCAGGCACAGTGTGTGAAGTTGCGACATTTCGGGGCACAGAACTCCTGTGCTGTCAGGGTGATCCTTCAGCTGCGGGAAAGATCATCATAAAAGGGGTGTCAGGCGTGTCCCTACCTTCCTGCCACGGGATGCCAAGGTCACAGTGAATAAAGAACAGCAGGAAGTATGCCTCAGGATGGCCAAGGCCAGGGATTCTCAAGCTTGAATGTGTGTTGGAGCTACCTGAGGGCTTGTTAAAACACAGGTGGCCGGGCCCCACCCTGGAGTGGCTGATTCAGAGGGTCTGAGGTGGGGCCTGAGAACCTGCATTCCTACACGTTCCCAGGGGCTGCTGCTGCTGCTGCTGCTGGTCCCCAGACCCCCGAGGGACCACTGAATGTGGTACCCTGATGTCTTTCTATACCTGCGTACTGAGAATGCAGACACCCTGGCTGCCCGATCCTACTGCAAGGCAGACATGATCAGGTCTGAACTCGGATCCCAAACACCAGTCCTGCTGTTCTGCCTTACGGTGGTGTGACAACCAGCAAAGCCACGGAACCTCAGAACCCATGAGCTTCTTCTACCCAAGGCAGCACTTGCTGGCCCTGTCACTGTCCACCCCCCCCAAAGGCCTGCTGCGCAGCGTAGTGGGGAAAAGACACGGGAGAAAATCCACAGCCTGAGCAGCACTAAAAAGAACAAGACAGACAGCAAGTCCAAGCAAAGCAAGTCAGGTGCCAATGTCACAGGTTTTTACCCACAAGATCCAAATGACTACTTAACTATTAGATAAGTGTGCCACTCGGTGGTGATGCACACCTTTAATCCCAGCACCTAGGAGGCAGAGACAGGAGGATCTCTGTGAGTTCAAGACCAGCCTGGAGATAGACAGATAGATAGATAGATAGATAGATAGATAGATAGATAGATAGATAGATACATAGATATCTTAATTTCATTAAGATGTAACCATCAATGAATCCAATTATTTCTGAGCACCTGAAGTGTTACAGGCACAGATCCACACCATGAACCTTTTTTAAGTTAAGTCGAATACAGCAAGGTAGCAGTGCTCACTGGTGATATCTGCACTTGGGAACCGAGGCAAGAGAATCATGAGTTTTAGGGCCGTACCTGAGCTACATAACAAAATACCATGAAAAAAAAAATCACTGAGTATCTCCCCTCTGGGAGTTAAAGGAGTAAGGAAAACCACAGTCCAGCTACCAACAGCAAGAGTAATAATAGTAACAATGACCAATTAGGTAGCCTCTTAGGGGTCACATCCCAGAAGAAAACTGACTCTCCCTCCTTGGGCAGCCAGTGACACCCCCTTACCCTCCCCACCTCTCCACTTCCCCCAACCTCCCAACCCCCCCACCTCCGGCTAAGGGTGGGACTCCCCAAGTCCCTCCCTGATCCCTGCTGGCATCTGGGTTAGACTGATCTTATGTGGATCTTGTCCCTGCAGTCCCAGAGGCCATGAGTTCAGCACGCCCCAGTGAGTGGCCCTGCACCATGCACAGACTACCATGCAAAGCAGGCTAAGTGGTTTTGTTGCTGTTGTTTAAAAAAAAGAACACCAGACATCAGGATGCAAGTGGGCAGGTGGAAGACAGAAGAGGAATTGGAGGGGAGAATCTGGGAGTAGATCTGATCAAAACACATACGTGGGTATAAAATTCTCAAACAATAATATTAAAATAATTTCAAGGGTTCCACATGCTAGAAACTGGGACAGAGACAGCCTTCAGAGTGGCCTGGCGGGGATCATGAGACTGGAGGCAATGTGGGAGCCAGCTGTGTGGTGAGCTACATGCACACACCAATAGGAATTCAGCCAGTGAGCTCTCGGGCCTCTCAGGAAGGTGCGTAGCCAGAACACCGTGAACAGAATCCCTGAGACGCAGGCGAAGTCCCAGGCGGAAGCTAGGGAAAAAAAGAACCTCACTTCGAGTTAAATGTGAAGTAAGAGTTTGGTTTGAAGCTGGGCAGTGGTAACTCACGCCTTTAATCTCAGCACTTGGGAGGCAGAGGCAGGCGGATCTCTGTGAGCTCAAGGCCAGGCTGGTCTACAGAGCAAGTTTCAAGACAGCCTCCAAAACAATACAGAGAAACCCTGTCTTGGAAAGAAAAAAAAAAAAAAGAGTTTGGTTTGGACTGAGCTTTGAACACTTGAGAATAAGACAGGGTTCATGATCAAAAGTCACTAGCAAATAATGGACCATCCCTGACTGTTGCTGGGACAGAGGGACAGAGTGCTAATACGTGTCTGGGGAGGCCTTGTGGCAGAAGAAGCCATCTCCTGAGGGTGCCCGCTGCTCGGTCGTTCTGTCATCCAGTCTAGAGACAACTTAAGGCCAGACCTGAAAGGCACCAAACTTCACTTGGAAACACATAATATAGTCACTTATTCTCCAAAATTGGAAGCCAGCTCCCGGGAGCCTGAGACAGAGGGCAGGATTCGTGTCCTGAGGGTTCGCACCCACGGAGGACCTCCATTGTCATGCATTTCTTTTCTATAAACGCCGCCAGAAATGCCCGTGAAGCACATGTTTACACAGCTCTGCCCAGTTCTGTTTTTTTTTTTCTCAAGAAAGTGACCTGACATCTGTCCCCTTCGGCTATAGGACAGAAAAGATGAACAAGCTGTATCCCCACACTGCTAGAAGGCCCAGAAAGGCCAGAGCTGGTTTCCCACCAGGCCTGTAGGAAGCAGGGAATATTCTGGACTGGAAAGGGAGGGGCTGTGGATTACAGAGACGCAAGCAAAGCACACACTTTTCGGGGTAGGACCCCAAGGGGAACACACGTTCCCTGTGCCGTAAAGGACGGAGGGGTGGGGTAAGAGACATCTGAAAGGCAGAGCAGAGCACCATGTGGTAGAAACAAGAGACATCCCCAGGAGGCTGGCAGATCCTAGGTGGGACCAAGGCTCAAACCTTGGAAAGGATTTAGGGGACCAAACGTTTGACTAGAACAGGAGTTGATACCGAACAAAGACTTCCAAAGGCCTCTGGCTGCATTCCAAGGTAAGAGAGGGGCAGACCCTTGCCTAGGACAGTTACAAAAAGGTGAGTGAGTTTGGCCCAGGAGACGCTGTCAGGGCGGGAACAGGGTTTGTTTGGTCTCACAGGACATCCCAGCCAGGCAACGGCAGTATCCAGCTTCTGGGAATGACGCACTCTCTGCTCACTCCTGCCCTTCCCTGAGTATGTTGGGGCATGTTGGAACCATGACGTGTGCTACCGCCAGGGTAACCTGCAACAGGAAAGCAGTGACGTACCACGGGGAAGAGGGAGCCCTGCCGTCAGTCAAAGGAGTCCTGGGCGCAGTTACTGAAGTCGTGGCTGGTCATCAAACCGGTGGGCCGCTGGTCGCCATAGCAACACAATCAAAACAGC